TGTAGAATTGTCAGTCTTTGTCTCAGTGTAATCAGGAAATGTAGAATTGTAAGTCTGTGTCTCAATGTTTTCAGGAACTGTAGAATTGTCAGTCTGTGTCTCAGTGTAATCAGGAAATGTAGAATTGTAAGTCTGTGTCTCAATGTTTTCAGGAACTGTAGAATTGTCGGTCTGTGTCTCAGTGTAATCAGGTTATGTAAAGTTGTCAGTCTGTGTCTCAATGTAATCAGGAACTGTAGAATTGTCAGTCTGTGTTTCAGTGTAATCAGGAAATGTAGAATTGTCAGTCGGTGTCTCAGTGTAATCAGGAAACGTAGAATTGTAAGTCTGTGTCTCAATGTTATCAGGAGATGTAGAATTGTAAGTCTGTGTCTCAATGTTTTCAGGAAACGTAGAATTGTCAGTTGGTGTCTCAGTGTAATCAGGAGATGTAGAATTGTAAGTCTGTCTCAATGTTATCAGGAGATGTAGAATCATCAGTCTATGTAGATTCTTTAAGTGTCTGTCTCAGTGATTCAGTGTTATAAAGAAGTATAGATTTTAAACTCGCACGATAGTTCATGTGAGCTGTTGCCATTTGTCTTCGTCAGTTGTCCATCCTGTGTTAACTTTAAACATTTCTTACTTTTTCTCAAAAACCATAGAACTAATTCAAATTAAATTTTTGCAGCTATGTTCCCAATCTTTAAAATATTGTGATATGTTCTTGATGTTGTCATAACGAATCACCTTGCTTATACTTTGAAACAGCAAGAATTCGACTCATACAAGTTTGATTCATGAATAGAATGTTAGTACAGTAGTGTTATTTATATAAGGCAAAAAATCCAGACTTTACTGTAAGTTTGTCATATCAAGAAATTGAAATCTTCAAAGTTCGAATCATGGAAGTTTGACTACTGCCATAATGAGGAGATCACAAGAAAATGTGTTGATTGTTTTTCAGGATGGTGTAAAACTCTCAATCAGACCAAATAAAAATGTAAGCATTCTGTCATTTTAATGGATTGCCACTTATCAAAACTTTTACTGGCAAGGTAACTGTATTAGCAGTAAGATTGATCTCCCCTGTTGTCATGCTTGGGAGGATATTCTTACCTATACAAAGAAATAGGTCATTGGATTTCGCTCATGAATCCATTTGAGTACTTTTTTACTTGATTGATAAAAGGTGATTAAATCATCCAGATTTTGAAACAGTTTTGATGTATGATAGATCAGTGGAATATTTTAAATTTTGTGTGAAGTTTGCTACTGTTGACAAAATTACCTTAGCTAGAAAAAACTGCTTGTGTTATCCATTTTCACAGGGTAAGTATTGACTGATGAGAAAAGTCTCTAAGTGGTTATCTGGCAGAGGGAAATATTTACATAACATATAATACTTGAAGATGAAAAGAAATAGAAGTAAAATCAATGCTCATTCTCCATCGTTATCCTTACAGCGGGCTGAGGAAAACATGGTGCTATCCCCACAGAAGGAATCTCCAGTTAGGAGTTCTCATGCCTCACCTGATGCATCGGGTATCAATAACCCCATGTCATCAGCAGGAACTCAGATTGAGGAGACACTGTTGACAGCACGAGCAGCAGCTAAAACAGTCATCCCTACACCGTCGAGGATAGGCTTCCTAGGCCTCGGGATAATGGGACAAGGCATGGTGATGAATCTATTGAGGTCGGGTCATGAGGTCACCGTGTGGAATAGGACAGCTCTGAAGGTCAGTCAGCATGGTTCTTACCTAAATTAAAGTGTGCGTGTACCTAATTGTAGTATACTGTATTTTGGGGTTGAAAGAAAATACGTCTCCAATGCTTTTCATTATATTTAGGACTTTTTGTTTTCCAGATTTAGCTATTTTAGAAGTTTTCCAGTGTGTTTTGATAGACAATTTCCACCCCCAGAATGGCACTGTGCCAGTGTATAAATAAATACAGAGCTGTCATATAATCTCTGCTGATTTAGTGACCAACCAAATCTATCACAGTGATTCTGTTAACTCTTTAGGTTAGTATTCCTGTGAATTTCACTAAACCAAGGTTAGTATTCCTGTGAATTTCTCTGTGACTTTCACTAGCCCAGGTTAGTATGCCTGTGAATTTCATTAGTCCAGGCTAGTCTTCCTGTGACTTTCATTAGTCCAGGCTAGTATTACTGTGAATTTCACTAGACCAGGCTAGTATTCCTGTGAATTTCTCTGTGACTTTCACTAGCCCAGGCTAGTGTTCCTGTGACTTTCAGTAGTCCAGGCTAGTATTACTGTGAATTTCACTAGCCCAGGCTAGTATTACTGTGAATTTCTCTGTGACTTTCACTAGCCCAGGCTAGTATTCCTGTGACTTTCACAAGCCCAAGCTAGTATTCCTGTGACTTTCACTAGTCCAGGCTAGTATTACTGTGAATTTCACTAGCCCAGGCTAGTATTACTGTGAATTTCTCTGTGACTTTCACTAGCCCAGGCTAGTATTCCTGTGACTTTCACTAGCCCAAGCTAGTATTCCTGTGACTTTCACTAGTCCAGGCTAGTATTCCTCTGACTTTCACTAGTCCAGGTTAGTACTCCTGTGAATTTCACTAGTCCAGGTTAGTACTCCTGTGACTTTCACTAGCCCAGGCTAGTATTCCTGTGACTTTCACTAGTCCAGGCTAGTATTCCTGTGACTTTCACTAGCCCAGGCTAGCATTCCTGTGACTTTCACTAGTCCAGGCTAGTATTCCTGTGACTTTCACTAGCCTAGGTTGGTACTCCTGTGAATTTCACTAGTCCAGGTTAGTATTCCTGATACTTTCACTAGCCCAGTCTAGTATTCCTGTGACTTTCACTAGCCCAAGCTAGTATTCCTGCGATTTTCACTAGTCCAGGTTAGTACTCCTGTGACTTTCACTAGCCCAGGCTAGTATTCCTGTGACCTTCATTAGTCCATGCTACTGTTCCTGTGAATTTCACTAGCCCAGTCTAGTATTCCAGTGACTTTCACTAGCCCAGGCTAGTATTCCTGTGACTTTCACTAGTCCAGGCTACTGTTCCTGCGACTTTCACTAGCTTAGGTTAGTATGCATGTGAATTTCACTAATCCAGGCTAGCATTCCTGTGACTTTCACTAGCCTAGGTTTGTACTCCTGTGACTTTCACTATTCCAGGCTAGTATTCCTGTGACTTTCACTAGTCCAGGCTACTGTTCCTGTGAATTTAACAAGTGCAGGCTACTGTTCCTGTGAATTTCACTAGTCCAGGTTAGTACTCCTGTGACTTTCACTAGCCCAAGCTAGTATTCCTGTGTCTTTCACTAGTCCAGGTTAGTACTTCTGTGACTTTCACAAGCCCAGTCTAGTATTCCTGTGACTTTCACTAGCCCAAGCTAGTATTCCTGTGACTTTCATTAGCCCAGGCTAGTATTCCTGTGACTTTCACTAGTCCAGGCTACTGTTCCTGCGAATTTAACTAGTCCAGGCTACTTTTCCTGTGAATTTCACTAGTACAGGTTAGTACTCCTGTGACTTTCACTAGCCCAGGCTAGTATTCCTGTGACGTTCACTAGCCCAGGCTAGTATTCCTGTGACTTTCATTAGTCCAGGTTAGTACTCATGTGACTTTCACTAGCCCAGGCTAGTATTCATGTGACCTTCATTAGTCCAGGCTAGTATTCCTGTGACCTTCATTAGTCCAAGCTACTGTTCCTGTGACTTTCACTAGCCCAGTCTAGTATTCCTGTAACTTTCACTAGCCCAGTCTAGTATTCCTGTGACTTTCACAAGCCCAGGCTAGTCTGTGAATTTCACTAGCCCAGGTTAGTATTCCTGTGAATTTCACTAGCCCAGTCTAGTATTCCTGTGACTTTCACAAGCCCAGGCTAGTATTCCTGTGACTTTCACTAGCCCAAGCTAAAAATATTGTTAACAAGTCACTAGCCCAGTCTAGTATTCCTGTGACTTTCACAAGCCCAGGCTAGTATTCCTGTGAATTTCACTAGCCCAGGTTAGTATTCCTGTGAATTTCACTAGCCCAGTCTAGTATTCCTGTGACTTTCACAAGCCCAGGCTAGTATTCCTGTGAATTTCACTTGCCCACGCTAAAAATATGTTAGACCTGAGCATCGGCTAGTGGAGTTTTACACTTCTGGAGTGTAAGTTACTAAAATGGGGTCTTGTGCCCTTCTACGTTATAGCTGTTTGTTCACTGTGTGTCACATTGTCAGGTCATGTCTCATACTCTTATCATATATAATTGTCCGATTTTGTATAAGTGTACCTCTTGGGGTGGTCAATTGTCATTTACTGAAATTTGGTCTCATGCCCAATTACTTACAGAGTTGTGGCCCTTTGTTCATTTATCAAAGTTTATCGTGAGAAGGCATACTATGGGTTGCTTGCAATACTTTGCTTTGTTCCTGTAGATTTTTTAGGATAGATAATTATCCATTATTCTATGATAAAGTGTCATGAGCAGAAACCTTTGAGTTAGCAATCCCATTATTTTGCTAATGAAACATACTGGTAGTTCCAAACAAGGAAAAATAAATAAATTACAATGTGTATACCCTAGACAATCAAGCCAAAACAAAGAAAATGTATACTTTAAAAGCTCTGAAATTGTGTCATTAATGAATCAAACATGCATATCATGTTATATTTTGTAAACTTAAAATAAAGTGTTTTAATAAATCCATGACAGTTTTGTTCATAATTATAGATTATTCAGTTTTAATAAAAAAAATAAAAAAAATATCTTACTTCTGTGTACTATTTCAAACAAATAGTATCAGGCATGGTCATGAATTGAAGTTAAGGCCCTGGGAAAGCTATGTGTCTGCGTGGAGTGTTTTTATCTGATAGCATTGTCAAGTGACTGAACACTTATATTACAGGGCTACATTGTTTTGTAAACATGTGTATAACCTATATTCTGTTTTGCAATTAGTAAATAAATCCTGAAACAGATACCTTGTCTTATAAATATTAAAGTAGACCGTTCTTAGTGAACTTATTACAGCATAACAACCGTTGGTGTACTTTACTACTGATACTTCAAAATAAAATGAATTGTTTCACTCTAATGCACATTCAATTTGACTGTTATAAATTGTGTATGTTTTTTCATTTTTATTTACTTTTGATTTTCATTGAAATATACTGGTGATCTGATTTGTATTCATTTTAATCCAGAAAAGAGTTTAACCTGGAAAGAGATTATAAACATGATTAAATAATAAACTAATAAAATTTGAGTCAAAATGTGTTCTATTGAATGACATTGACCTACTTAAAATAATACAGGGGTGTAACACGTGTTAATAGATTACGGTAGGTGTACATAGTAAAGTTCAATAGGCATTCATCATATCTTCATATCATCACAGTTCTCAGTTTTACAATTCCATCCATGAATTTCACTGTACACTCAGTAACTTGACCATTTGATCTGTCAGTTATTACCAATGTACAACATTTGTACGTAAATTATAAATTCTCTCGTCTTTTACTCCTATAAGATTATTAATGTTGCTGATATTATTTGTATCTGTAGGTTTATTTTGAATGACAAAAAGTGTAATATGTACATACATTTTATAAAGATAACTATCTTTTATTTTTAGCTCACCTGTGAGCTTATGCCGTGGTGCGGCGTCCGTCGTCCGTCCGTCCGTCCGTCGGTCGTCCGTCCGTCGTCCGTCGTCAATATTTTACTTTAAACGACTTCTTCTTAATAACCGAAAGGCCTAGGGTGATGATATTTGGCCAGAAGCAAACTGGGATGAAGGGCTACCAAGTTTGTTCAAATAAATGACCTTCATCTATTTTCAAGGTCACAGGGGTCAAATATGTTAAAAACTTTAAACAACTTCTTCTCAATAACCAAACTGCCCAGGGAGATGATATTTGG